CAGATATCTGAGTAAGAAAGAGCCAATGGAAAGCAAGTTGCCCTATTGACATATATGAATGGTGAAAGCACCATGTAGGGTAGCGTAATCACATGAGAGGCAAGCAAGGAGTGCACTCTGACTACCTACAAGCTAATAAGGATGGGCATGATAGTGGTGAATTGGTGTTTGATGTGTGAGAAAGCGGAGGAGGCACATAATCACTTACTTCTTTGGTGCTCACTGCGCGCAGCTTGTGATCTTGGCCTGTAGTGTGTTAGGCATTAATTGGGTCATGGCAAGCAGAGTGAATGATGAACTATGGGCTTGGATGGGCTTAGTAAAGGAGAAAATTTGTTTGGGACTTATTCCAATAGCAATATTTTGAGGATTGTGTGTTTCAAAAAATATTTAGAGTATAGCAGAAAGAAAGAAATAAAAGGATTATGGAGTGGATGAGGGTATTGACAAAATTCGAGAGAGATGGTTTCAAACTTTTAATTTTTTGTTTCTGCGTCAACCATTGTATTACATGGAAGATTTAGGAGAATTTCACGATATAATTACTGGTTTATAAATAATTTTGAATGCAAGTTTGTACCCTTTCATGCCTATACTTAATGATACAATTATGTGTTGCTATTTTAAAAAAAAATCAAGTTCCTTAATATAATTTCATCTTCTATGATGACTCACTAGAGAATGGAAGAATATAGTATTCTTACCCCCATCCTTAATCCACCTTCTTGATCATTGTTCCAGGCCACTTTACCCCTCAACAATAAACCGACCAACTCAACTTTAACTCGCTACCCATCCCCACTTTCCTTTGTTGAGAGCCTTCTCTCCCCCTCCAACCCATCAAGAGCCTCTAGAGGATAGAGCATTCCTCCTCAGATAATCAGCTCCCACCACTTTGTTACTCCATATCTTGAGTCTATCTTTAATTGAAGCAATTGTCTTTGCAACCCTATAACTAGCATAACCCTCCACTTGAATCTCATCAAAGTCATATAAGAATTTTCTCAAAAGAGATACCCATTTTCTTTTAAATAAAGAGGGTGAAGACCTAACAAAATATCTTGGAGTACCATTGGGTGCAAAATACAAGGATAAAATGTCTTGGGATCCGGTGGTTGACTTGTTCGAAAAGCGGCTTGCCAGATGGAAGAGAAACTTTCTGTCAAAAGGGGGCAGGTATACTTTAATTAAAAGTACCTTGGCTAATCTCCCAATTTATTATCTATCGACTATCACTATTCCGGTAAGTGTGGCCAAGAGGCTTGAAGCCTTGCAAAATAGGTTCCATTGGGGTGACGAAGAGGATGGTCGCAAATTCCATTTGGTAAATTGGAATGACATTAAAAAACTGATTGAACTTGGTGGGCTTAGAATTAAATCTATGGTTACAATGAATGAGGCGCTAAAAGGGAAATGGTTATGGAGACTCTTAGGGGAAGAGTATAGATTATGGAGGAAAATTATTTGCTCCCAATGGGATAATCATATGGCTAAAAATCAGGAAGGCACAATTTGGATTCCCCATGGAAGAGGATTATGGAGGAATATACTAATGCAGTAGCCTAATTTCCAGCATTGCCTAAAAGTAGGATCTTGGTAGATGTAACAAGATAAAGTTTTGGTTGGATGTTTGGATAGGTGATGGAAACCTCATGGAGCGGTACACCAGAATATACTCTATTGCTCAAAGAAAAAACATGACAGTTGAGGAGGCTTACCGTATCATCAATGGGGCAACTGTTTGGGTGGTTGAGGTCTTCAGAAACTTGAATGATTGGGAGATTGGTGAGTATGAAGAGTTATTGAAGACTCTTGAGGCACAACAGTTGAATGCTGGCAGTGATCAGGCTGTTTGGAAATGGTAAAAGAGAGGAGAGTTTTATGTTTCGTTTTATTACAGATTTCTGTGTTCTTGGGTGAGTAATAGCAGTTCTGTTTTCCCGCCTGTGCAAATATGGAAAACCAAAGCTCCTCCAAATATTGCTTTTTTGCTTGGGAAGTATCTTTAGTGAAGATCTTAACCATTGATAAACTCACGAGGGGACTGCATTTGGTTAATGGGTGCTATATGGCTGCCTTTAAATGGAGGAGACGTGTAATCATCTTTTAGGGATGATTATAGCTTACAATCTATGGTGTATGGTGTATAGGCTTTTAGGGATTGAGTGGGTGGTGGCTGGGTCGGTTAGTATAGAAATATGGGCTTGGGATGGTGTATATGTAAAGGGCAATATTGCTAACCTAATTCCTTTGACTGTTTTCTGGACTATTTGGAAAGAAAAGAATTCTAATGCTTTTGAGGGTATTGGGAGTAGTATGTACAAAATAAGGGATACGTGGATTCATTTTTTTTGGAACTCTTTTGTTAGGACACGACATTATTAGTGATGAAGATTTTGAGAATGTCATACACACACTAACACTTATGTAAATTGTCCATGGGTGGTACCCCCTATATTTGGTACCATGTTAATATATACCTCACTTGTTTACGTTTTTTAAAAAAATATTGATAATGATACCAAGGTGGTGCCCGTCCATGTAAAAAATTTACAATTCAATCAAAATGTCCAATAAAGTTCCCATAAATCTTCTAGTGGAATGAAGAGGACCTAGCAGCCAAAAACTTCAGGATCTGAAAATCATTTTATTTCTTGATAAATCAAAACCATTCACAATCATTAACCCCATCAAAAAGTCCCTTTTTTTTCTCAAAACAGATGACCCATTTTTACTTATTTTTTATTTTGCATCAACAAGTAAGTTCAAGAAAGAACACTCATGTGATTATTTATACTTCTTTTCTAGGAAACACAGTTTTCCAAACAAGAAAAGATAAAAAACTTCATTTTTACCCTGTTATATACATGTGTAGATATATTTCCTCATAGTTTTTTATTCTTTAGAAAAGCTGAAGCAAACATACTTTCCTAATTTACTTATTATAGAAGAAACGGAAACAAGATAATGAAAATAAAGAGGGAAAAATATTCTCCATACCAAGCGCACACTACCTTCAATGCCATATTGCCACGACTCAATTCTTGATCACGGACTTGACGTTTATCACCTGTTAAGTTATGTCCACCTTGGCCAGTATACACAACCTCATCAGCATTATCCAAATCATCTTCATACATGCCAGACAAAACTATGGAAACTGCAACTGGAAACGTATGGCTACTGTACTGCAAATTGAAACATATATACATAAGAGGAAAAAAACGAATTATTTTTTAAATAACAAGTATAAGAAAACAAAAGAATTATTTCAAGCATAATATTATATGGATGTTTGGCTTAGCTTTTCTTATGTGAACAGAAACTTACAAATTTTCTAACAGTGTTCTAAATTTTTTTAAAATGTTTCATAAACCAAGGGCTTTTAAGTTTGATAGCTTATACATCATTGGAACAACATCTTGAAATCATCAGGGGTCAGTAATATTTTAGATAGCTCATAATCTCTCTAAAAGCCTTTGTTGTTGACTAATAAAAATACAAAATTACACTTTGCTGATTTTAGAAGCTGTATTTGACATCCTTGGAAAAACAAGTTCCCTCAACATAGATACGCTGGGTTGGGACAGAAATGTAGCTGACAAGGTATTGTTGATTGTTTTTTAAGAAAGAAAATGGAAACATAGCTGATTACACATTATAAAAAAATTAATACTAATATTACAACAAAGCATTTTGTGAATAAGAACATTAAAGAATCATTTAATAAATAACAATTGATATTTATGGAATTTTATAATATCAAATAAAATAAGTTTTTCAAACTATTATCAGTAAAATTATAAAGTACGATTAAGTTTTAACCCAAAAGAAGTAAAAAAATTATTCAAAACTTAATATTTTACTCTCATTTATACTAATTTGTCTAAAAATATAAATAATAAAATTTCCAAAAAAAATTTACATTATTTGTATTTACCAAAAATGATAAAGTTGCCCATTTTTGTTATTTTAACATAATTGACATCTTATAGAATCATATCTTAACCAAACACTTAAACAAATAAATAAAAATTATAAAATCATGTCACCCAAATATTTCAACATTTTATTTTAAAAAATATATTATCGGCTTATACACTATTTTTTTTTTTGAGATAAGGCTTATACACTATTAAAGAGCTTATAAATTTAAAATCCTAAAAGCTCAAATAAAATTGAATGGCTTCATATTTTATTACCACATGCAACAGTTACTCTTTTCAAGAAAATTCTTATCACATTAGTAATTACTCTCTTCAACCAAAGAAAGGAGTTGGAAACCCCCTAGTACCTTCTCAACTCACAAACACATGCCTAAAGTTAGGATTTAACAACAAAAGGTTGTGGTCATGATTGCTCTGGCATTACGACCTCTAACACAACGATATTGTTCATAGATCAAATTATTTTGTGGATTGGATTCCATTTGTCTATGGCTATACTACGCGTGCTCAGAGTAAAAGTTTTATATAAATATATTGTCATACTAATAAGTATTCTTACTTAAGTCCTTTTCTTTCTAAGAGATTGAATAGAATAACCCGATTGAAGCATAATACTCATAGGTATGTAGTGCATCATATGTCTCATAATAAATCTCATTCTTCTAGTCTTTACTGGGAGTGGATGAAAAAAATGAAAATATATTATACTATAATAAATATTAAATTAACATATTATTATGTTTATGAAATTATATTTTTGTTTTAAGGAAATATCTTTGTTTTCAAACTCCAACATGCCAACAAATATAGTAAGGCCTTCCTAGAACCATGCAACTTGCTATTAGATTAGATTCGCACAGATCTAGATCTTAGGTGTAAGCATAGACAATTTCATGCCTCCATCTAAAAACAAAGCAACAACCAATATGGACAAAACAACCTTCCAAAGATGTAAAAATAGTGATTAGTTTAATAAAACATCCTTCTTTTCAACCATCATATGCATTTAAAATGGTAATCATTACTTTAATTCCCTTTCTGAAATATCTCAAGCACAAAAGAAATCATTACCTGTTTCTTGTAAGATTGGCCCATATAGTCAATTCCATTAAGCCAATGACTATGGAAACCAACAGCAACCATTTCAGCTCGTGAATAAAACTGATGCCCAACTTCAATACCTGTCATCACGAGCAAAAAGGCCAGAGGAATATAAATTTCATAATATATAGAATACAGACTATAGTTAAATAACAGAAAAGGTCGCAAAATAACAAAACTACACCACCAACCTGGAAGATTTCCTATCATTTTTTTAGGATGCAATATTTCCCCAGCCTCCAGCATCTGCCAAAACTTACCATCTTGAGAAAAAAAGGGCATGAATAGCAAAGCGGCAATGATACATCTTAACAGTAAATTTACGTGTTGTTAATATGAACATAACTTTTATATTTAGAAACAATGCAGAAAAGGGAAATACTTTTAGCATCAAAATCAATACTACAAATGAACCTTTGTACGTTGTAAAGAAGGGGTTTCAAATTAAAACAAGTTTATTTCATAGTTATTCCACCTTTACCAACTGGCTTTGCACATGTTACAGTTAGAGAGAGAAACTAGAGAAAGCTGACGATTGAGAGCGGCAGTAAGGGGTGGTTGGTGCCAAGGAAGGATAGAGAGGTACCACATGAGAAAGCCAAAGACGAATGGAACAATTAGGGGTTGGCTGTGAGGCCGACCAAACTTGGAAATACGATGTCATTGGATCAAAACAGAAAACTTATAGACAGGAAGTCTTTTGATGTCGTGAGCGAAGGGAAAAACCTTGATGGTTTATGAATAAGCGAAAATGACAAAGGATTCACGGTCTCGATAACTTTGGACAAGGAGGAAGTCAACCGGCTCACTGATGCACTAAGCAACTTCTACTGGTACAAGGGGAAAAACTTG